CAGACCCCACAAAGGTCGGTACAGGGATGCTGAGACCCCTTAAAGGTCATCACAGGGATGCTCAGACCCAAGGGTTGGTACAGGGATGCTCAGACCCTCCTCAAGGGTCGGTACAGGGGTGCTCAGACCCCACAAGGGTTGGCACAAGGATGCTCAGACCCCACAGGGGCTGGCATAGGGATGCTCAGACCCCACAAGGGTCGGTACAGGGATTCTCAGACCCCACAGGGGTTGGCATAGGGATGCTCAGACCCCACAAGGGTGGGTACAGGGATTCTCAGACCCCACAAGGGTCAGCACAGGGATGTGCAGCCCCCGCCAAGGGTGGGTACAGGGATGCTCAGACCCCACAAGGGTCGGCACAGGGATGCTCAGACCCCACAGGGGTCAGCACAGGGGATGTGCAGCCCCCGCCGTGCCTCCCCCAGGCTCTGCTGTGCCCACCGGGGTCACATCCCCCAGGATTTGGGGGGCTGCTCTGTCCTGTCTTGGTCGAGTTGCAGATTTCATCCCACACCAAACAATGATATTTTTAAAAACTTGTCCGTGTTTTGATCTGGTTTTACATAGGATCCTATTTTAATTTTTATAGCAGAACATAAGCATTTATCTGTATTTAACCTGTAAAAACCTTGGTTAAAACCCCCCCAAAATGTACCTGGGAATGGCCAGGAGCTGCCTCTGTCCCCAGGGGCTGACTGGGGAAGGTGACACAGCTCCCCTTCAGCTGATGCAAACCTTGTTCAAAGAAACGGAGATCACACGGATTTAATTTAATTTTATTGTATTTTTAACACGGTGATAACCGCACACCCAGGCTGATTCAGCCTCTTGGCTTTGAGAATTTAAATAAACTCGGTGAGGATGTAAGAAAGACACGAGACCCTCCCAGGAGGTCAGCGGAGAGCAGGGATAACTCCGGGTCTTAGTGCACACCCTGAGACAGAAGGAAGGAGGAGATTCCTCTTCCTGCCTCGCCCCAAATTCCTCTTCTTGCCTTCCCCCAAATTCCTCTTCATTTCCTCCCCCTGCAGCCCTGCACTCAGCCCTGGGGCTGGAGCCAGCAGTTGATTTTGCAGCACAGGAGGAGACAGCAGTGCTCCATCCCAGCTTTACACCGTAATTAATGTTCTCTGAACGACCTTGAGAGAGGTACACGAGAGTATTGACTTGTCCAAATGGGGAAAGAAAAGAGCTCTAATGAAACTATAATAAAAATACAGGATTAAACGGTGTGTGGAGGTTGTTCGAGCTGTTAAATTGGTAAAAGTTGCTTTAAGTCCTTTTCTGAGTGACAGGAGAAAAAAAGCAACATTTCTTTTTGGTTTTGATCAGGTTTTACATAAAGATGTGTTCCGGATTTTATAGCAAAACATAAGCATTTGTGTATATTTAACTTGTAAAATAGAATAATTAACATATTATTTTGTTAAAACCCTCAGAAGTGTGCCTGAACACATTGCTGTAGTTCTTCACTGTGTTACCTATTTAGAAACATGTTGCAGTTTCCTATGTCTATTTTCTTTAAAAACAACATTTGAATTATGTAACTTGAAAATACAACAAAAATAAAATCCTCAGGCTTATTTTTATTTCATAGCCTGAACAAAACCAAACCCAAATCATACCCAGAAGGTGATGCTTGCATGTACACAAAGTGCAATTTGCAGCAGTGTGGAATTTGTTTAAATAATTTTGCTTTCTGATGCATTGAGCATGAATGGTCTAACATCAGGACACCTTTTCCTGTTGGAAAGAAAATTGGATTTTTCCATTTACACTGCATTTTTCAAGTGTATGTTTCCTGAGGAAATCTTTAATTTACCAATATCAAGTATTGCAAGTTATTTCCACATCTAATTTTTCACCAGATTGAATGGGGGTGTCTGCTAGCCTATGGAAAGTTGCCAGGAATCTCTTTTGATACCAAGAGGGATCAATAAAAATATAGGATCAGCATAGAAAAGGATGCTGAAGGTGCAGTTATGGCTTGGAAAACACTCAGATATTGGAGCAGGAAGAGGTGCTGTGCTGCTGAAGGCACTTGGCAAATTTACATGTGGAATTCCAGCCAGGATGCAAAAACTGGAGCTCTGACAGCCCTTCCTGAGAAATGTGAGCGTGTTCAGCCAGTGGCTGGAGCCAAACCAAGCAAGTTTTTCCTCCTTCAAACCTTGTGCCCTTCTCCTGACAGAGATGATTGCTCCCAGAGCTGTCCAGGGAGGAGATCTGGCACCAACCTCTGTGGCTGCTTGTGATGGACAACTTGTGATGGAAAACTTGGGATGGACAACTTGTGATGGACAATTTGGGATGGACAGCTTGAGATGGACAATTTGTGATGGAAAACTTGTGATGGACACCTTGTGATGGAAAACTTGGGATGGACAACTTGTGATGGACAACTTGTGATGGACAATTTGTGATGGAAAACTTGGGATGGACAACTTGTGATGAACAACTTTAGATGGACAACTTTTGATGGACAATTTGTGATGAAAAACTTGTGATGAAAAATTTGTGATGGACAGCTTGAGATGGACAACTTGTGATGGACAACTTGTGATGGACAACTAGGGATGGACAACTTGTGGTGGACAACTTGAGATGAGCAACTTGTGATGGAAAACTCGTGATGGAAAACTTGTGATGGAAAACTTGTGATGGAAAACTCGTGATGGAAAACTTGGGATGGACAACTTGTGATGAACAACTTTAGATGGACAACTTTTGATGGACAATTTGTGATGGACAGCTCACCCTGAGTTCTGCTGGGAGATCCAAGGGTCTGGAGTGTGATGCAGGGAGGGAAAATGGTTGGCACAGCAGTGAAGGCCCTGAACCCATCAAAAAAAAAGATAATACTACAGGTTAACTACACCTTCTGCACTTTTTTTGGCCTTGCACTGTGGCTGAGCACAAACCCAATTATTTAAGGCAGAGCCAAGCAGACCCCCGTGCTTTGGCTTGGTCAGCCTGGCTGTGCTGGCTCCCTGTGAATCCTTTATCTCACTGTTTGCTCTCCTATCAATCCATCTGTTTCCTGAGACCTTGTTCTGTGCAGTAAAACCCAGCCTGGGCATTTTTTTGTTATGGCATTGCTTCAGCATTCTGCTGCTCAGGCCAAACCCTGTGATCTGTCTGAGCTGTGAAGCCCAGCAGCATCCCAGATTGCTTTACAGCCTCCAGCCAGACCCAGCACCACAGGGGTTTTTTGGCTTTTCTGCTTCTCCTCCACTGCCTTTATTGCCTTTCCTCAAGGAAACAGTGAAGGAGTATCAAAACTCGCTGTGGGCCAGGCAATGAAGCACTGCCAACCCACAGCTCACAATTTATGCAACACTCTGCTAATTTTAGTCTCAGATGTGGCCAGGGCAGACAGTCCCCAGGGCAGAGATGTTTGCTCTCAGCTGAGGGCAGCACATGACATATGGTTCCTAAAGCATCCTCCCAGCTGGGAGCTTTGCATTCAGTTGAGTTGCTGCAGTTCCCTCCAAGTCATAACTTTGAGGATTACTCACCCTGGACATGCAAACACAGAGAATCTGCCTCCTAATTTAGATTATCCTGCAGCCTGAATCCCTGAGCAGCCTCAGCCCCACTGGGCTTCTATTTCCAGTGCTTGATTCACTCCCAGTCAGGGCTGAAGTGCCAGGGAGGGAGAGCTGAGCTGAACACAGCTGGGGTGAGAATTTTAAACTTCCTGTGCTGAAAGGCTCTGACCCCCAAGAGAACACTGCATTGACCTGAGACTGTGAAGAATCTTCCAAAATTGATTGATAGCACTGGGATTGTGGGTGTGGGGTTGGTCAGAAGTGTGTAACATCACAGGCTGCAAAACTGAGAGTTTGGGGTTTTAGAATATAGAAATAAACATGAAGCAAGATGGAGGTTTCAGGACAGAGATACGTTGTGTTTCTTTACCTTCTTCTTCCTTCTTCTCCATGGGTTTGGGTGGTTTTGTGTAATTGGATAAAAACTCCACATTGCGGGCATGGATGGTTGGTTATTGGGTTAAAAGTAAAAATAATTTAGGTGGCATTTCTTAATTGGATAGTTTAGCCTTAAAAGACCTTGTAACAATAAATCATTGGCCATTTTGTGCCAGAAATACTGCAGAGCTCACTGCTGTGAGACTGTAACATTGATAAAAGAAACAATAAACACACGAATCTGAGGGTGAACCATCACCCTCAATCCCAGAAGGCAGAAAAGGAAGCACAGAACCCAAGTGGGGCAGCTTGGGCACGGAGCTGTGGCACTGGGGCCGTGCTGGGGGGCCAGGGGGGCTGCTCTGACCTGGGCCAGGGGGGCTGCTCTGCTCAGGGTGCTCTGCAAAAGGAACTGCAGCCTCAGCTGCTCTGCTGTGAGCGAGCTATTCATAGAGGAGCTGCACGACACAGGGCTGGCAGAGCACCAAGGCAGCTTCAACCATCTCAGGGCATTTTGGGTACCTTAAACCCCACGAGGGTTCTGTAGTGAGCTCCTCGCTGGGCTCCATGAGCAGCTCTGGCACTTGGCTAGAAGATAATTTCCTAAAATTGTCCCTTTCTTTATTCTGCTCTATTCTATGCCAGAGTTGGACTTGCACAGCTGATTGTACTGGTAAGAAACACAAACAGAATGAAAATAAAGAACTAAAAAGTCCCATGAAATGTAAATTTCAAGCTCCGTTACGACCAGTGGAAGAAAAAAATAATCAGTGCTGTCAGAATAAAAAAGGCTGAGCTTGTTGGGAAATAAATATTGTTTTCCCCAGTGTCTAAAAGTGCTTGCAAAATATGCCACAAACAAGGGATTAAAAAGAGCTCAATTAATTCAAATAGAGAACAAGGATGTTCTGATTTTTTAGCAGGTGATGAGATTCAGGCACAAGCTGTGTTTGAGGTCCCAGTCTGGTGATGAGGAAGCAGAACACAACTCAGGCACAGGGAGTGGGACAGCTCTGCCCTGTTCTTATCACTTAAACAGGTTCTGGGCTTTGAGATATCATGATCAAATCCATTCTCTTTCCATTTTAATTTCCAGAGGCTCCATCTGACTGTTCCTTTTTGTCCCTGAGGTCAGGTAAGATGTCTTTTGGAGGCCACAGGATTCAGTCTACTCCATCAACAACTCCCAGCTTGCTGATCAAAACCTGTCTAGAAGAGACAAAATTTACCTTAGCTCCTGTTGGGAGACTGGCAACGATCCAAACAGCTTGGAACTGCATTAGTTGGGCTGCAAATATTCCTTTTTTCCCTGTTTCTTGGTGTGGCTGTCCCTGTCCCCATGGGGAAGAGCCTCTCTGAGCTCAGGGCAGCCCTCAGCTCCAGCAGGGAAGGGGCACAGCGTTCCAGGGGACACTCTGAGGCCAGCAGGACGGTCACAGCCCAAAGGCAGAGCAAGGAGAGCTCTGCAAGGATCTGCTCCCGGTCTCTGCAGGGTCTCTGCAGCAGGAGGGGCTGCAGGAGTTCACCCCCAGGCTCTGCTGGCTGTGCTTGGTGCTCCTGCACAGCTCCAGGCAAAGAACAGGGAATTTCCTCTGGTTCCCTCCCCACCCTACTCAGAGGATGTGTTAAAGAAACACAGAATAATTTATCAAGACAGATTCCTTTGTATTAGAGACCAGTCGAGTGAGTCCAGGGACCAGCTCAGGCACCCCTCTGCTGCCCAGAGGGGGTAAAAAACACCCCCAAAAACAGCCAAAAAACCCCTCTCCAGCTTCAAAAGGGGGTGTGAAAAACAAGAGGGCGAAGACCACAGTAAATCAAAAAGTGCTTTAAGAAAAGCAGCAGGATAAGATCATTCCCAGTCTGAGAGACCTCTGAGAGGCAGCAGGGGCCCCACACTGATGGGATTTTCATCTGCACACCCCCTGCCAGGGCCTGCAGAGAGTTCCCTCCTCCTGCCTTTGCTCTGGGCACTGTTTAACTCAGGAGGCAGTTCCCAGAGGAGTTCCCATCCCCTCATTCCTGGAGTATCCCGTTTTTCCAGCAGCTCTCAGAAGTAGTCATCCTTCTTGCCAGCAGCTCCTTGCCTTCCCAATCGGTCCTTCTGCTCTTGGACAAGCTCCAGGTCGTCGTTGTCATCCACCTCCCCTCCATGATCCTCCTGGGGGCACAGGGAACAAACAGCAAGGAAAAATCAGCCCAAAAGGAAATCCTGGAAAAGGAGACCCTGAAGCACACCACGCTGTCCCTGACCAGAGCTGTTCCACCAAAGCAGCCCAGCTTTGGAAACCTGGGAAAAGAGGGAAGAATCCACCTCTGGTGGCACCTTCAGGTGTCCCTGGCAGGACACAGAGGCGTTCTGAGCACATTTAATATCCTGGCAGTGCAGCTTGGACACCTCAGCCCGTTGCATGAGGAGCAGAATGAGGGGCAGATGGAAAGAGCAGGCATGAGGAGCTGATATTTTACATCCACCACCTTTAAAACTGTGCCACCAGCCCCACCCAGGCCGTGCAGCAGCCAGCACAGCCTCCAGGGACGATTTCAGCTCCAACCATCCATTGTAGACACCTACAAGAGGCCTGGAGTCACTCAGGGAAAGGAGACCTGCTCTGCCCACCCTCTATTTCCCCACTCCCTTCATTCCCAAACCCTCAGCAATCCTGGGAGAACTGCAGAAAAAAACCCTCAGGAGCCACCCACAAAGGGCAGGGAGAGAATGAATGAGACTGGAAGAGGGTTCATTTCTGTCTCTGTGAGCCAGAAGGCACCAGGGTGATCCTCTCTAGCTCATGCTTGAAAAACATTGATCTGGCATTGCTGCACTGGCAGAGCCTTGATTCCTCCTGTGATTCCTCCTGTGATTGATTCCTTCTGTGATTGATTCCTCCTCTGATTCCTTCTGTGATTCCTTCTATAATTCCTCCTGTAATTCCTCCTATAATTCCTCCTGTGATTGATTCCTGCAGTGATTCCTCCTGTGATTCCTCCTGTGATTCCTTCTATAATTCCTCCTGTGATTCCCCCTATAGTTCCTGCTATAATTCCTCCTGTGATTGATTTATCTTGTGATTCTTCCTATGATTCCCCTTGTGATTCCTCCTGTGATTGATTCCTCCTATGATTCCCCCTATAATTCCTCCTATAGTTCCTGCTACAATTTCCTATAATTCCTCCTGTGATTCCCCCTAAAATTCCTCTTATTATTCCTCCTGTAATTCCCCCTGTGACTGATTCCTCCTATCATTCCTCCTGTAATTCCCCCCGTGATTCCTCCCTGCTGCTCTCTGGGCAGCATCCCACAGCTCAGCTGCTGCAGGTGGGTGCAGACAGAAAGCAGGAGGGCACAAAGAGCACAAAGGGTGCTCTGAACACCTGGAAAAGGCAGCAGCGAGCTCCAGCTTTGTTCTGGACATCTCCCTGAGCAGGCAGAGGCAGAGCTGGAGCCCCTGCTCACCCCTAAAAGCTAAGTTCCCCCCAGCTCCTGGCTGCCAACACCCCCAGGCGACCCCACACCCCAGAGAGGGAAAGAGGAAGAACCTTGGTGTCGTACAATTTCTTGCTCCTGATCTTCTTGGTAATCCTCCAGTGGCTCTTCCCTGGGCTTGGCAGGTCTGCCAGCATCCTAAAAAACACAGGCAGGCAGGGTTGGGAGTGCCCAGCCTGCTCCCACCCCTGCATCCGAGCCCTAGGGCTGGATCAGGAATTAGAGGGAGCAGAGGGACAATCAGGCAACACAAATTCCATTTATTTTTTTCCATCCAGTCTCTTTTCCCACCTGCTGGCAGCTCCTTTCTCCTGCAGCAGCAGGGCCCCAGGGCTGTTGCCTCTGGAAAATGTTGGGTTATTTAGGGTAGAGCTTTAGGGAGCACAGCACAGCCAGTCAGGTATTTATGCCACTAATTCTTTCCACATTTTCACTAATCTCAAGGAGGTGTTGCTCTGCTGGTGCCAGCACCTCTCTCTTATTTGATTTCATTGGCCTGGATTTCCTTTTCTTCTTTCTTAATCCCACCATTCATCATGATTTTAGAGCCTGACAGATAAAACACTCCCTTTTTAAAACAAGCAACGTTCAGCTGCTTGTCAAAACAAATGAACATTTCCCTGATGCAGAGCCTGGCTTCAGGCAGCAAGAAACACTTGGTGAAATAAATGGATTCCATCTGCAAGGAAACAAACAGGGAGGCAGAGCTCTCACACGCTGCCAGGAGCCTTGGACAGGGCTGCACTGACCAGAGCCCGAGCACAGACTCAGATTATTGTCTCTGGTTCTGCTCCCAAGTGCATCCAAGTGCCCTCTCCCACATCTCCCCATCCCTAAAGGCGTTGCAAGTGCCAGGGGGGATTTCAAAAGCAGAGAAGATGAAGCCACAGCAAGCTCTGGTGCTTGGCTAAAAGATAATTTCCTAAACTCTGGTTTAGGAAATCTGGAACCTTTGCTCATTCTGCTCCACTCTATGCCAGAGCTGGACTTGCACAGCTGATAAAAAAACACAAGCAGAATGAAAGCAAAGGACCAAAAATTCCTATGAAATGGAAATTTCAAGCTCCATTACAACCAGTGGAAGAAAAAATTGGTTGGCTTTGAGCAACCTGCCAAAGAGTTTTCTCCTGCCTGCCACATCTCCCACTGGGATTATGGATCCATCAGGAATCTGATGTTTCCTGAAGCTCTCCCCAGCCGGGGATCCCTCCCTGGCCCTGTGGTTGTCACCTTTGGTGGCTTCTCCTTCCACTCTTCTTTAACACTGGGCTCCTTGAACTTCTCTGAGGCTCCCACCTTCTCCTCAAAGTCAGGTCTCTCCAGCTCAGCCTCCTCAAACTCATCCTCACCCTGGTTATTGGGGTCCTGGGCAGGATCTGCAGCATCATCTGGCATCTGGACCAAAAAAAAAAAAAATAAATAAAAAAGGGAAAGTCTTTTGTGGAAGGATATTCCCTCAGGAGACAGCAACCTGCCCTCCCCAGCAGGCCTGGAGCACTTGCACCTCTCCAAGCCTGTGAGTGTTTGTTAAAAAAAGAAAAAAAAAACCCCAAAACATCTTTGTCATCCCTCCACACCCAAGGAGTTTGGAGTTTACAGAAACTTCTGGGTGATTATTGACTGATTGGGCTCTTATTCCGAGCCAGATGAAACAGGGCAGGATGAGAGGATGAAAACTTCTCCCTGCCAGGCTGGGAGGGCTTGGAGCAGCCTGGGGTAGGGGAAGGTGGCTGGGGTGGGGTGGGATGGGATGGGATTTAAGGTCCTTTCCAAGCCCTGGAGGGGTTTGTGATGCTGGGGATGGGGTGTGATGGGATTTTTGATGGCTAGGGATGGGGTGAGATGGGATTTTTGGTGGTTGGAGTGGGGTGAAATCAGATTTTTGATGGCTGGGGTGGGGTGAGATGAGATTTGAGGTCCTTTCCAAGTTTTGGAGGGGTTTGTGATGCTGGGGAAGGGGTGAGATGGGATTTTTGATGGCTGGAGTGGGGTGAGATGAGATTTTTGATGGCTGGAGTGGGGTGAGATGAGATTTTTGATGGCTGGGGGTGGGGTGAGATGGGATTTTTGATGGCTGGAGATGGGATGGGATGGGATTTTTGATGGCTGGAGTGGAATGGGATGGGATTCAAGGTCCTTTCCAAGCCCTGGAGGGGTTTGTGATGCTCTGGTCACTCACCATGGGCTCCTGGAGCACGGGCTCTTTCTGGGAGTGCACCTCCCTGCCGATGACTCCTGCATCTGCCAGGGACAGGACAGGGACAGGGACAGGACAGGGACAGTCAGAGGGGTCTCCCCAGAGCCACTGCCACCACGGGGGTGGTTTATCTCAGTGCCCTGTGCACAGGAATGAAGGAGGAAATGGAAGGACAGAAAGCTCCACAGACCCTGCAGGGTTTGGCTGCAACCGGGGAAGGAGCTGGGCTGGGGTAAAAATGAAGTACATGAAGGCATTAAGGAGAAAAAGGATAAATTTGTGTTTCTGTAGTTGTAAGAATGGGCATTAATTAAGTGAGAAATTATTGACGAGATGGTGAAAGGTTTTATAGTGTAGTGATGTAATTGTATAGAGTAAGCTAAGGATTTATAATGATATATTATATATATAATATATAATTACATATTATATTTATGATGTATAAAATATAATATATAAATATAAAATGTAATATATAAAATATAATATATAATAGGTAATAGATAATAGATATTAAATATATTATATAAATATAATAATTATATATAAAATATATAGTAACTAACATTAAAATAACTAGTATATAAACTATTATAATAGTTTTATAATACTATACTAATATATAGTATTATATATTTATATTATATATAAATATATATTGTATATTATATATAATTATATATATTTATATTATATATAAAATATAATATATAATAGGTAATGGATAATAGATATTAAATAGGAATGATTTGCATACCCATTTGCAGCTCCTCCTCGTCCTCCCTGCGCGCTGGCTGTGCCCCTCTCCCGGGGCTGGGGCTGCCCCTGTGCCCAGCCCTGGGGGCAGCCTGGCCATTGCCAGGGGCTGGCAGCGGGGCCCTGGGGGTGCCAGGCAGGCCCTGCCAGCTGCAAGCAAACACAGCTGGGTTAGAACGGGGCACTGGCTGCGGGCTCTCAGGAGGCTCCTGTGTTATTTTATTGTACTGTATTGTATCAAAGGCATGGTATATTGTATTGAAGGCGTGGTATATTGTATCAAAGACATGGTATATTGTATTGAAGACATGGTATATTGTATTAAAGATATGGTATATTGTATCAAAGACATGGTGTATTGAAGACATGGTATATTGTATTGAAGGTGTGGTATATTGTATTGAAGACATGATATATTGTATTGAAGATATGGTATATTGTATTGAAGATATGGTATATTGTATTAAAGACATGGTATATTGTATTGAAGATATGGTATATTGTATCAAAGACATGGTATACTGTATTGAAGACATGGTATATTGTATTGAAGATATGGTATATTGTATTGAAGGTGTGGTATATTGTATTGAAGATATGGTATATTGTATCAAAGACATGGTATACTGTATTGAAGACATGGTATATTGTATTGAAGATATGGTATATTGTATATTAGATTAAAGATATGCCATATTATATTAAAGATATACTATACTATATTAAAGATATGCTATATTATATTAAAGATATGCTATATTATATTAAAGATATACTATATTATATTAAAGATATACTATATTATATTAAAAATATGCCATATTATATTAAAGATATACTATATTATATTAAAGATATGCCATATTATATTAAAAATATGCCATATTATATTAAAGATATACTATATTATATTAAAGATATAGTAGAAGCAAAGCCTTTTAACTCCAGTAAGTTACAGCAAATTCCAAGCATGAGATTTAAAAATCCGTTTAAGACATTTCAGATTTTAATTGCTGGAAAGGAAAGTGGCTTTGATTTCAGGAGATCTTGAAGCCAACAGAAAAACAAATGAGATTCCAAAACCTATTTAAGATATTTTAATTTTTTAATTGGAAAGGACGAGTGGCTTTGACTTCAGCAGCTCCTGAATCCAGCACACAAACAAATGAGATTTAAAAGTCTGCTTAAGATATTTAATTTTTTTAATTGCTGTAAAGGACGAGTGGCTTTGATTTCAGCAGCTCCTGAAGCCAGCAGACAAACAAATGAGATTCAAAAATCTGTTTAAGACATTTCATTTTTTTAATTGCTAGAAAGGACAAGTGGCTTTAACTTTAGAAGCTCCTGAATCCAGCAAATGAGATTTAAAAATCTATTTAAGACATTTTATTTTTTTAATTGCTGGACAGGACAAGTGGCTTTAACTTTAGAAGCTCCTGAAGCCAGCAGAGAAACAAATGAGATTTCAAAATCCATTTAAGACATTCCAGTTTTTAATTGCTGGAAAGGACGAGTGGCTTTGATTTCAGGAGATCTTGAATCCAGCAGACAAACAAATGAGATTTAAAAGTCTGCCTAAGATATTTAATTGTTTTTAATTGCTGGAAAGGACGAGTGGCTTTGACTTCAGCAGCTCTTGAATCTAGCAGACAAACAAATGAGATTTAAAAATCTATTTAAGATATTTTAATTTTTTAATTGCTGGACAGGACAAGTGGCTTTAACTTTAGAAGCTCCTGAAGCTAACAGACAAACAAATGAGATTTAAAAGTCTGCCTAAGATATTTAATTGTTTTAATTGCTGGAAAGGACAAGTGGCTTTGATTTCAGGAGATCTTGAATCCAGCAGACAAACAAATGAGATTTAAAAGTCTGCCTAAGATATTTAATTGTTTTTAATTGCTGGAAAGGACGAGTGGCTTTGACTTCAGCAGCTCTTGAATCTAGCAGACAAACAAATGAGATTTAAAAATCTATTTAAGATATTTAATTGTTTTAATTGCTGGAAAGGACGAGTGGCTTTGACTTCAGCAGCTCCTGAAGCCAGCACACAAACCCTTCAGTGAGAAAAATCACAACCCATCATAAAATCATCAAATACAGGTTGGCCACCACCAAGAGCTCGTCTGGACCCCACTTTAGGTGGCCCCAAAAAGCCCCAGGAGCACAAATCCCTGGGTCCTGCTGGGTCCCTGCAGATGTGATTTACCCCAGCACTTTGGGGAGGATGTGGCCATTTAAATTAAAAAATAAATAAATAAAATCAAAGTACAATCGCTGCCCTGGAAAGGCCACGGGTTCAGGGCAAAGACAAAAATAGAAGAGAAGAAAGGGCAGGAACGGGCTGAGTCTGGAAGGAGATCCAGAAGTTTCCTCTAGAGATAAAACAGGAATGAAATCCTGTTTGCTGCAGCGAACTGCACACACACAGGGGATAAATCACTTAAAGGAGGAAGCACTTTTTCACTTTTCACTTATTTTCAGAGCCACTTTCTGGGTTGGGGCCAGGCTTTGATGAATTGCAGCCACAAAAAAAAACAAAAACAAAAACATTTTCTTCCTTTTGCAGAACAGAGCAGTGTCCTGCCAGAGCTGCTGAGACATTTACAATTTTTTACAATTTTTTTTACTGGTTTCCCCAGTGTCTGTATGTTGGATTACTTTTTTTTTACTTAGAGATAAAACAATATAGATGTTGTAATTCAAATTATCACAACCAGAAGTCGACTATTTCTTAATTTCAATTTATTATATGTGCTTCTTGACTTATCAGCTTTTGCTGCACCATATTATAAATGTCTTAAAGTTTACCATCTAAAATTACCCCCATAAGTCTTACTACATCTTTCCTAATTCAATTTCTCTAATAGAAAATATCTATAAAAATAAAAATCTTTAAAGATTTTATCTATAAAGATAAAATATCGAATAATATCTATAAAACCATCCTTTAAAACTTATTTCTAATTTTATTTTGCTTTCAACAGCACCCATCTGATTTTATAACATTTCGAAATTAGCATTTCTTACCTCAAAATTTACATGCAAACATCCACCTTCTATCAAACTTGAAAAACTCTCTACAAATCTGTTCCCCACATCTGGATGCTCAGACTCCCAGGAATTCCACCAAAACCAGTAAAAAACCCCATTTTTCAAGAAAACCCACAAAAAAAACAAGAAGAGGATGGTCCTTTTGGGCATTTTCACCCCAAAACTTGCGAATAGAACAATTTTGTGTCACAAAATCAGTTAAAAACCCCATTTTTTCAGGCAAACCCAAAATAAAAACAAGAAGAGGGATGTTCCTTTGGACATTTTCACACCAAAACTTGAGCATAGAACAATTTTGTGTCCCAAAACCAGGAAAAAAACCATTTTTCAGGCAAACCCACAATAAAGACAAGAAGAGGATGCACTTTTTGGGCATCTTCACACCAAAACTTGAGAATAGAAGAGTTTTGTGTCCCAAAATCAGTAAAAAAACCCATTTTTCAGGCAAAACTACAATAAAGACAAGAAGAGGGAATCTCCTTTTGGGCATCTTCACCCCAAAACTTGAGAATGGAAGAATTTTGTGTCCCAAAACCAGTAAAAAACCCATTTTTCAGGCAAACCCACAATAAAAACAAGGGGAGGGATGCTCCTTTTGAGCATCTTCACCCCAAAACTTGTGAATAGAAAAATTTTGTGTCCCAAAACCAGTAAAAAACCCATTTTTCAAGCAAACCCACAATAAAGACAAGAAGAGGGATGCTCCTTTTGGGCATCTTCACACCAAAAGATGAGAGCAGAAGAATTTTGTGTCCCAAAACCAGTAAAAAAACCCATTTTTTCAAGCAAACCCACAATTAAGACAAGAAGAGGGATGTTCCTTTGGACATCTTCACCCCAAAAGATGAGAGCAGAAGAATTTTGTGTCCCAAAACCAGTAAAAAAACCCATTTTTTCAAGCAAACCCACAATTAAGACAAGAAGAGGGATGCTCCTTTTGGGCATCATCACACCAAAAGATGAGAGCAGAAGAATTTTGTGTCCCAAAACCAGTAAAAAACCCCAATTTTTCAGGCAAACCCACAATAAAGACAAGAAGAGGGATGCTCCTTTTGGGCATCTTCACCCCGAAACTTGAGCTCAGAACAATTTTGTGTCCCAAAACCAGTAAAAAATCCATTTTTCAAGCAAACCCACAATAAAGACAAGAAGAGGGATGTTCCTTTGGACATCTTCACCCCAAAAGGTGAGAGTAGAAGAATTTTATGTCACCAAAATCAGTTTAAAAACCCATTTTTCAAGCAAACCCACAATAAAGACAAGAAGAGGACGCTCCTTTTGGGCATCTTCATCCCAAAAGGTGAGAATAGAAGAATTTTGTGTCACAAAACCAGTAAAAAACCCATTTTTTCAGGCAAACCCACAATAAAGACAAGAAGAGGATGCAGCTTTTGGGCATCTTCACCCCAAAACTTGAGCATAGAACAATTTTGTGTCACAAAATCAGTTAAAAACCCCATTTTTTCAGGCAAACCCAAAATAAAAACAAGAAGAGGGATGTTCCTTTGGACATCTTCACCCCAAAACTGGAGAGTAGAAGCGTTTTGTGGCACCCACCTTTGCAGTGGCACCTCTCTGCTCCCTGCTGGCTGCTGGCTGCCGGGCACGGGGGCATTTTCTGCTGGGGAGGTTTGTCCTGCCCCAGCCTGGGCCAGCCCAGGAGCTGGGCTCTGCTCGTGGCTCCTCACCTGGATGTGCATCACCATCCTCACACCCTGCAGAGGAGACACCCCTGGCTGTCAGACACCCCCAAACCTGGGCCAGAACATCCTTTGTTAAAGAACAAATCCTTTGTTAAAGAACAGACAAATCCTTTGTTAAAGAACAAATCCTTTATAAAAGAACAAACATCCTCAAGTGCTGCTCCAGAAGAAATCTGCAGCCCTGCTCACCTCCTGCCTCCCTGGCTGCAGCTGGCTGCTGGCTGGCACCAGGGGCTGCTGCCCCTTCCCTCCTCCTCCTCCTCCTCTTCCTCCTCCTCTTCCTCCTCCTCTCAAGCCTGGCATCTTCTGGAGAGCTTCCTTGAGCTGCCTGAACTCTTCCATCTGAGCCTGAGGGGAGGAGAAGGACACAGAGAAACCTCACAGGGGGTTAAACATCTCCCTGCTGGGAAGTGGATTCATTGCTTAGAAAATATTTCTTATTTAGAGAATATTTCTTATTTAGAGAATAGCTCTTATTTAGAGAATATTTCTTATTTAGAAAATATCTCCTATTTAGAGAATATTTCTTATTTAGGAAATATTTCTTATTTAGGAAATATTTCTTATTTAGAGAATATTTCTTATTTAGAGAACATTTCTTATTTAGAAAATATCTCCTATTTAGAGAATATTTCTTATTTAGGAAATATCTCTTATTTAGAGAATATTTCTTATTTAGAGAATAGCTCTTATTTAGAAAATATTTCTTATTTAGAGAATATATCTTATTTAAGGAATATTTCTTATTTAGAGAATATTTGCCCAGGTGGTTACCTGGGCATTGAGGAGCTGGGAGTGAACCTCCTGGTGGGCTTTCCTGAGGAGTTTGCTCTCTTCTCTGAGTTTAAACACCGTGTCTGCAGGAGAAGAAGAAATTTGTTTAAAAAGAGATTTTTTTTTTCTTTTTTTTTTTTTTTTCAAGTGTGGCATCTCCCTTTCTCACCACAAATTCTTCCTGACCTCACAGATCTCTCCAAGCCCAGGAACCACAAACCTGCTCCCCATTCCTTGCAGTAATTCCTTCTCTCCAGGCTCTTTCCCACCTCCTGCTCTCAGCTCAGGCTCTCGCTGTGTTTGCCACAGGACTCAGATAATTTGATTTTTATTTCCCTTCCCCCTTGGCTTCTGACTGTGATGAGTGAATTAGAACATCTGTACTTCTCACCCTTCATATGAGACTGAAAATGGAATAAAAGCTTTTCAAACACCTCTCAGTTCCCCATCCCTGGGTCAGAAAAAGGCTCAATCCAACAAATCCTGACCCCAGTCCCTCCTCAGCCTGGCGTTTTCTGTTTGTCACCCTCACCCTGCAGGTTGGTGACCTCGCTGTCCTTCTCCTGCTGCAGCTGGGCCAGTTTCTGGCTGTGGCTCTCCAGGCTCTTCCTGTGCTCCAGTCTGAGGCTGTTGTGCTGCAGCTGCAGGTCCAGCAGCTGCTTCTTGACATCGTCGTGCTGGTTCTGGAGAGAGAACAAGGGTCAGGGTGCTGCCTTGGGAAGGCTGAGCTGACCCAAGAGGAACCAAAATGGTCCCAAAATGAACCCGAGATGAACCAGAATGGTCCCAAAATTAACCCAAAATGAACCAGAATGGTCCCAAAATGAACCAAAGTGGTTCCAAAATGAACCCAAGAGGAACCAAAATGGTCCCAAAATGAACTCAAGAGGAACCAAAATGGTCCCAAAATGCACGAGCACTCACGGGGTGTCAGAGACATATTTTATGAAACATCTTTTTGCCAGGATCTTTTCTCTTGAGGAGCTGGGAAGCTTCAGCTTCTCCACGTTTTGCTGCTTTAGAATGTGATTTAGAGAATTGTTTGCCCAGCATGTGAAATTGTTTTTACATGATGACAACGACAGCCACCTGTGTCGAGGCCGTGAGCAGTCACAAGATTTTATTATCATTCCATTCCTTTCTTTTCCAGCTTTCTGATGGATCCTTTCTCTCTGTTATTTTCAGGATAGTTTTAATACAACATTTTAATATTGTATAATATCATAACATAACAAATCAGCCTTCTGAAACATAAAATCAAGATTCTCATCTGGAACACAACCACAACGGGGTCTCTCATTTTTAGAATTTCTTCCACTCCGAGCACCAAGTTCTCCCATCCCACCTTCCTCCAGCTATCCAGACAGCAGGAACGTTCCAGACCCCGGCAGAAATGATCGGGTGGGAGGTGAAAAAGGCAACAGCAGCACCCCAAACCCAGCTGTCTGTGCCCTGATTTGGGAGCAGCTTTGCAGCAGGACAAAGTGGGATCAGCGACCGGGGTGTTGAACCCACGAGCAGGGAGAGGCCACAGCTCATTTTTCACCTCCCAGCAGCCTCAGGAAATCCGTGTCAGAATTCCCTGGGCTGCTCAGGAATGCCAGGGTGCCTCCTGCAGCCAAACATTTTCATCTCCAGCCAGGAGGAAGAAAGGGCTTGGCGAGACAAAGGCTCAGGCCAGGCTCCAGCTGGGTTTTTTTGGGCAGAGTCAAGGCACTGGGAGGGGCTGGGCCAGCTCCAGATGTGACCCAGCCAGCCAGGGGTGACAGCAGCACCCGGGGACACCCGAGCCAGATGTGCTGGAGGCTCCATGGAGCCCTTTGGGGACATTTGGGACCTCCAGCTCCCATTTCCCAGGTGATGACAATGACATTCCTGGCAGAAATCTTCCTCCCGAGCGAGCCAGCTCCACTGGGAAACATTTCTGCTCCAGTGGCAGAAGTGTTACCCACAGCCTCATAAAGGCCTAAAACCTGCTTTTTCTGAGAAAAAAAATCCCATTTCTTAAAAAAAATCTCCCACAGTCCCAAGGGCTGTTTTGTCTTTCAGCAGCTGTAAATGTAGTTTAAAAAAAAATAGATGGTTGAGGTTGTTTTTGGTTTTTTTTCCCCCCCCACTCCTCCAATAAAAGGAAGCAAGAGAAAGGGAGCCAGGAATAAAATAAAGCTCCGAGTGTCCCCTTGAGAGAAGCAAAGCAGAGCATTCTGCCCAGGCTGCAGTTGCTATGAAGAGGAATTTTGCTGTTGCAGAGCGTTCCCAGAATCCCAGAATTGGGAGAAAGCCCAAGAGACAGAACTGTACTTCCTTTCCTCCAGCTGGAATCCAAAAGCCAGGCAGCTGGAGGTCCAGCTCAGCTCAGGAAATCCAGCCCAGTGCTGCTGGAACCCAGCCCTCTTTCTCCATCCCAGGCTTAAATTAGCATTTCACTGCCAAGTTTAGACTGAAAATGTTTTTAAAAACCACCCCAGCAGCCTCCAGTTGCATTGCTCCAACAAAAGCAAAATTGAACATCGAGATGTGCTTCAGGTAGAGCAGGTGATAAGCTATAAAATGCTATAAAATGTTATAAAATACAATAAAATGCTATAAAATGCTTTGAGCTGCCCTGCTCTGAGCCTCTCCCATGGACTGGAATATTTGGTAGGAGCCCAAAGGTGAACTCCAATGGATAACCCAAATTTTCACACTGAGAGACCCAGAAAAAGAGCCAAACCCTGGGTGATAAAAATGCTCAAAGGCTGATGTTGCAGTAAGAAAAATTATAGAAAAATTATAAAGAAAAGCCTCATAAAATCAGGCCTGCTCTGGCTGGGCTCTCGTGCTGCCCAAGTGTGGCAAATGGATTTGTACAGAATTTAAAAAGTTTGATAGAAGATTTATGTAGTGTGTATTTGTATGTAAATTTTGAGATAGGCAATGTTGATTTAGAAAAGTTAGGGAATAAGATAGATATTGTTAAGGGAGAAATGGAATTAGAAATAAATTTTAAAAGATGGATAATTCTATTTCTCTAAAATATCTATTTTAGATATTTTAGAGATAATTTTATTTTAGAGAAATAGAGTTATGGAAGATGTATTGTAGTAAGATCTGACACCCAAGGTGGATCCATTGAGGAGATCCTTTAAATAAATCCCTGCTTTATTCTGTAGCTCTGTTCTAGCTCAGCCTTCCCAAGTGCAGGAATCTTGGGATTCTCCACCCCTAAAACACAGCAGCCAAACCTCCCTCACCTTCAGGATCTTGTGCTGGGAGCTGAGGGCCCCATATCTGTTCATGGAGTCTTGCTGGGGAGAAAAAAGATCCAACAGTGCCATTAGATCCAGAAAAAAAATCCAGAGGAGGGAGAAAAAATATCTACCAGTGCAATTAGATCCAGAAAAATCCAGGACAGGGAGAAAAAAGATCTAACAGTGCTATTAGATCCAGAAAAATCCAGGGCAGGGAGAAAAGCCCCACAGAAGCAGCTGCCCAAATTCAGCCCACAGGGAGGGACTGGGAGCAGCAGAACATTTCCAGGCAGGAAAATGTTGAGTTTTTATCTTCTTTTTGCTGGGGTTGGGATGAAATGTGTGAGGTGGGAGTTCTTGTTTGGACTCAGGTGTTTGTTAGTTCTTATCAGTGTTGGAGTCTCACAGCAGTGAGTTCTGCAGTTCTTCACCAACGAGGCACAAAATGGCCAAATATCTTCCTTTACAAGGCCTTTTAAGGCTAAACTGTCCAATTAAGAAATGACACCTAAATTATTTTCACTTTTAACCCAATAACCAATCACTTGAAGTTGGCAATGTGGAGTTTTTTACCCAATTCCACAAAACCACCCAAACCCATGGAGGAGAAGGTGAAGGAGAAGAAGGAGAAGGAGAAGGAGAAGGAGAAGGAGAAGGAGAAGGAGAAGGAGAAGAAGGAGAAGAAGAAGAAGGAGAAGGAGAAGGAGAAGGAGAAGGAGAAGGAGAAGGAGAAGGAGAAGGAGAAGGAGAAGGAGAAGGAGAAGGAGAAGGAGAAGGAGAAGAAGAAAGAAAGAAAAGAAAGAAAGAAAGAAAGAAAGAAAGAAAGAAAGAAAGAAAGAAAGAAAGAAAGAAAGAAAGAGAAGAAGAAGGAGAAGAAGGAGAAGAAGAAGAAGGAGAAGAAGAAGGAGAAGAGGAAGGAGGAGAAGGAGAAGAAGAAGAAGGAGAAGAGGAAGGAGGAGAAGAAGGAGAAGAAGAAGGAGAAGAGGAAGGAGAAGAAGAAGGAGAAGAAGGAGAAGGAGAAGAAGAAGAAGGAGAAGAAGGAGAAGAAGAAGAAGGAGAAGAGGAAGGAGGAGAAGAAGGAGAAGAAGGAGAAGGTGAAGGAGGAGAATAAGAAGAAGGAGGAGGTGAAGAAGGTGAAGAAGGAGGTGAAGAAGAAGAAAAAGGTGAAGAAGAAGGAGAAGAAAAAGGTGAAGGAGAAAAAAAGGTGAAGAAGAATAAAAAGGTGAAGAAGAAGAAGGAGAAGAAAAAGGTGAAGGAGAAAAAAGGTGAAGAAGAAGAAGAAAAAGGTGAAGAAGAAGGAGAAGGAGAAGGAAAAGGAGAAGGAGAAGAAGAACCTACCTCCACCCTAGAACCTCCATCTTGCTCTATATATATCACGATATTTTAAGACCCCAACCTCTCATTTTCCCACCCTGTGACCTCACACCCTTCTATCCAAACCCCACACCCACACTCCCAGCTCCATCATTCCATTCTGGAAGCTTCTCCACAGCCCCAGGTCAGCGCAGGGCTCTCCTGGGGGTCAGTGCCTGCCAGCACAGAAAGTCTGGAATTCCCAGCAGCCAGAACTCCAGCCCAGAGGAGTCAGCCAAAGTTCATTCAACCTGTGCCACACACACGGAGCCTTCCCTGCCTTCCCGGCCCGGTGGCACCAGAAAAAACAAATGCCATTGTTCCCCAGCCAGCCTGGGACGAACCACACCTACCTTCTCCTTGTTGAGAGCTTCCTGAGCTTCTAACTTGTACACTAAAAAATCTGGAAAGGGGAAAGGAGGAGGCAGGTAAGACACAAAAACCACGCTGCTGTTCTCAAGGCAAAAAGTGACAGTGGGGTGGAGGGTGGCAGTGCCACCTCTCCAGTGACACTGCACAAACCAAGAATCCATCAAATTTCTCCTCCTTCTCCATAAAAAGAACCCAAACAATAAGTTGTTTACAGAAAGCGTGTGAGAAAGCAATGTAAACGTCAGGAGGTTTAGGAAAATGCTAAAAAATCAGGGTGACAGGCAGGGGAACGAGCTGGGGTTTCAGCAGGGTGGGGTTTGGATTTTGGGGGGCAGAAGGAGCTCAGCCCCTTGTGAGCACAGAAAATCAGCAGGCTGGGATGCCGAGGCTGCCGGGGGAGCACCCCGTGCCCTGGGAGGGTGGGAGTGCTGCCATGAGAGCCGGGACCCAAAAAACCCCTTCCCTTCCCTTCCCTTCCCATTTATATTTAAGTTGTAATGTTCTAATAAAGTATTGTTCAGCATTTACATTTCGATTTAGATTTAAGTAGTAGTGTTCTAATAAAGCATTGTTCAGTATTTATACTTATATTTAAGTTACAATGTTTTAATAAAGAATTGTTCAGCACTTATATTTATATTTAAGTTATAATGTTTTAATAAAGCATTGTCCAGCATATATATTTGTATTTGTATTTATATTTGTGTTTATATTTTTATTTTTATTTTTATTTATGTTGTAATGGTCTAATAAAGCATTGTCCAGCATATATATTTATATTTATATTTATATTTATATTTATATTTATATTTATATTTATATTTATATTTATATTTATATTTATATTTATATTTATATTTTTATTTTTATTTTTATTTCTATTTCAGTTGTGACATTCCAATGAAGCGCTGCCCAGCATTCTGCAGCCCCGGCTCAGGTGCCAATCCTTTCCCCGGTTTCTGCATTTTTCAGCCGCTCTGGGGCTCGCGGGGCTTTGGGCTCTCACCTTCCTTGGTCTTCTTGTGCTCGCCCCTCTCCTTCTGCAGGGAGCGCTCCAGGCGGGACCGGTGCTCGTACACCACTGGGGAGAGGCAGACACCGCAAACCTCCCGTTCATCCCCAAACCTTGACCCCACCATTAAAAAAATTCACATATTTTTCCCCACCATTAAAAAAAAAATTAGATTTTTCCTCCACCATTAAAAAAAAAAAAAAAAAATCAGATTTTTTTTCCCACCAATAAAAAAATTGAGATATTTTTTCCCACCAATAAAAAAAGCAGATATTTCCCCAACCATTAAAAAAAAAATCAGATTTTTTCCCACCAATAAAAAAATTCAGATATTTTTCCCCACCATTAAAAAAAAATCAGATTTTTTCCCACCAATAAAAAAATTCAGATTTTTTTTCCCACCAATAAAAAAATTCAGATATTTTTTCCCACCAATAAAAAAGCAGATATTTCCCCAACCATTAAAAAAAAAGAAATCAGATTTTTTCCCACCAATAAAAAAATTCAGATATTTTTCCCCACCATTAAAAAAAAATTCAGATTTTTTTCCCACCAATAAAAAAATTCAGATATTTTTCCACCATTAAAAAAAAAATCAGATTTTTTTTCCCACCATTAAAAAAAAACAGATTTTTTCCCATCAATAAAAAAATTCAGATATTCTCCCCCACCATTAAAAAAAAAAATCAGATTTTTTCCCACCCATAAAAAAAACTCAGATATTTTTTCCACTGTTAAAAAAATCAGATTTTTTCCGCCACCATTAAAAAAAAATCAGATATTTCCTCCACCATTTAAAAAAAATCAGATTTTTTCCCACCCATAAAAAAATTCAGATATTTTTTCCACCATTAAAAAGATCAGATTTTTTCCCACCATTAAAATTCAGATATTTTCCCTACCATTAAAAAAAAAAAAAATTGGATATTTTTCCTGCCATTAAAAATAAAAATCTGATTTTTTCCACCATTAAAAAAATGGGATATTTTTCCCACCTGTTTTTTCCCACAACAACTCACTCCACCTGTTGTTGTGAACATGCAGAATGTGTTACAGAGATTTCTTTACCCAAGGGTGGGTTCTTAATTATTATTTCTTAATTTCTTCCTTTCTTAATGAACCAACGGTGATGGTGTTTAGATTAGAGGACCAATTAGGTCAACCTATATATCTATAAAAGCAATAGGTGTCTTAATAGTAATAATAATAATAATAATAGAATAATGTAGAATAAAGAGATTGATCAACCTTCTATGAATCACAGAGTCAATATTAATTATTGCCCAGCCTGTTGCTACATCAGGCCCTGAGTGTAGGAGATTTTTCCCCTTCCACAACCCAGACCAGGATTTTTTTCCTTCCACAACCCAGCCATTGACTGGCCCCGAGTGTAGAAGAGATTTTTTTCCCCTTCCACAGCCCAGGCCAGGATTTTATCCCCTTCCATAGCCCAGGCCAGGATTTTTTCCCCTTCCACAACCCAACCATTGACTGGCCTTGAGTGTAAAAGAGATTTTCCCCTTCCAGAACCCAGCCACTGACTGGCCCTCAGTGCAGGACAGAGTTTTCCCCTTCCACAGCCCAAGCCAGGATTTTTTACCTTCCACAACCCAGCCATTGACTGGCCCTGAGTGTAAAAGAGATTTTTTTTTCCCCTTCCACAGCCCAGGCAAGGATTTTTCCCCTTCCACAACCCAGGCCAGGATTTTTTCCCCTTCCACAAGCCAGGATTTTTTCCCCTTTCCACAACCCAGCCCTCAGTGCAGGAGTGATTTTTTTTTTTCCCCTTCCACAACCCACTGAGAAAACCTGGGGGTGTTCAGAGCCAGGAGTTGGACTCGGATGATCCCCGTGGGTCCCTCCCAGCTCAGGACAATCCCAAATTCCATCATTCTTTACTCATCTTCGTGCTGAGGCACAGCATCAACTCGTCTGGCCGAACTGGCAGCTCGGGGAGCCAGGGCGTCCTGAACAATTTGCTTTTACAGGAGAGAATGGAGGGTGGTGAGCGTGTAAATCCAGCTGGAATCCAGCCAGGCACCCTCACCTGCTGCCAAAGGAGCTGCTGAAACAATCAGAAAGCAGAGCCAGGTGCAGAAGAGCGCAGGGGAATTAAATTGTGCCACAAGTGCAGGGACAGAGCCCCAGGTTTGTCCCCAGAGCACAGCACCAGAGGCAGATGAGCCTCCCAAAAATCATCTTTCTCATCTGCCCCTCGCCAGGCTTCCCCAAATCCAAAAAGAAGCCTTGCCTTTGTTGAAATTGTTGGACAAGAGAGTGTCTTCTCAAAATAAAAAAGGGTAGCCATGGCAACAGCTGTGTTTGGGAATGGGAGGACTGACAGGGGGTTAGGAATCCCAGCAACAGGCTGCAGCTCTGCAGTTCACACACGTTCGGCTGGGAAAAAAGATGAGTTTGGCTCAGTTGTTGGCCCGTTGTTCCCAAAAACTGGGGTTCCCTGAGGCTGCCACTGCCATCCTCTGGGGAAGCAGCCCCTCTGTGCAAGAGGAGCAAGAGAAGCTGGCACACCAGGGAGGGATGGGGGGTAACTTCTGCCCTGCTGGGCTCTGCATGCCCCAAACTCTGCTGCAGGTGGGAATTGTGGCTGGGACTGAGCTCTAGGTGAAGGGAAAATGGAAGCAAACCATGAGATGACAGCGCTGAAGCTGAAGGCACATTAATTAGATCCACTCCCAAGGCTGACTGGGTTTTGTTTCCTGCAGAGGAACACGCACACCCCGCGCTGTGCAAAGGGAACACGCAGCCCTGGACACCAGCAGCCCTGCTGGGATGCTCCACTTGCAGCTCAGAGCCACCAGGAGAAGGTTTAACCCTGAAAGGCTCAAATGTTGAGTCACAGATCTGCAGGATGCCCCAGCAATACAGGAAAAAAATATCCCTGGATGTGTCCACAAAGGTCATGACAGACACCCTGGATTTGATTTTAGCCGGGGAAGAGCTCCCGTGTAAGCACTGTGATCTAAACTGACTTTTTAGGGGGGGAAAAAGGGGTTAAATAATATCATGACCTTGAGTAGAACAATTTTTGGCCACATGGATTCATTCTGTGGGAATTCCAGGGGCAGCCCATCCTCCAGCATTACACACTCGAGTGCTGCCTACCCCCAGGGCATTCCCACCAAACCTCACATGGGGAGCTCAGCAAATCCCTCCAGAGACCCCCAAATCCTGTGGCAGCTCCTGGAAACCTTGGCACAGCCAGCAAGGCTGGAACGATGGGCTGGACAAAGGAGATCAGAGTTCAGCAGTGGAGTAACCGCGTGTCCTCAGCCCTCCCCGCGGGCTGAAATCCCATTTTCCCACACTGAGGCATTTATGTAAGGAGGACAAACGAGGGGAGAGAGGGGGAGGAGGAATCCACACGCTGGGTTTGCCTTCCGGTCTCCAGCAGCTCCTGCCAGGGAAACCAAGTGCTGGGCAGCGGGATCAGAAAAGCCAATTCTTCCTCCTCCTCTTCCTCCTCCTCTTCCTCCTCCTCTTCCTCCTCCTCTTTCTCCTCTTCCCGTTTTTTAGGGAGCTAAAAATCCATCAGCAGCATCCATCAGCCCCAAAAAGCTCTTACGACTTTTTAAATCCCGGATCAACCTCTCGAGAACGAGGTGGGTTTGTCAGCGGGATCAGAAAAGCCAATTCTTCCTCCTCCTCTTCCTCTCCTTCCCCCTCTTTTTAGGGAGCTAAAAAAATCTGCAGCATCCATCAGCCCCAAAAAGCTGGCACGATTTTTTTTGTCTCATACTTTTTTAGTCTGACCCAACATCTCAAGAATGAGGTGGGTTTGTCAGCGGGATCAGAAAAGCCAATTCTTCCTCCTCCTCTTCCTCCTCTTCCCCTTTTTTTTAGGGAGCTAAAAAACCTGCAGCATCCATCAGCCCCAATGGAGCTAAAAACCTGCAGCATTCATCAGCCCCAAAATGCTAGCACTACTTTTTTAGTCCCGGAGATTTTTAGTCTGGACTTTTTTAGTCTGGACTTTTTTAGTCCGGACCAACCTCTGGAGAACGAGGTGGGTTTATCGCCCTGCAGAGCGGACTGTGACAAAACTTCAGGCACAGATCCCTTCCCTCTCTGCTCGCTTCCACACGGGGCAGAGGGAGCGGAGCCGCCTCTCAGAGCCTGCCCTGCCTTTTTACTCCTCGCTTTCGGCGCGACAGGGGTTTGGATTTGCAGCCAAAGGGAGAAGAAATGGAATAGACGTGACGCAGCTGAGCTCGCCCATCCAGCTCCGATCCCCCTTTGCCAATTCAGAGTCAGGGCTGCTCTAATTCCTGACACCCAAATGGGGGGAAAGGAAACAATTCAGAGTCAGGGCTGCTCTAATTCCTGACACCCAAATGGGGGAAAGGAAACAGCGCAGCATCTTTAAAGGCAAGAGGTGAACAGGGGAGCATGCTTGTGGCTGGGAGGGAGAGAAGTTGGGGCAGGGTGTGCACACACGGACAGATCCGGAGCGGGTCACTCGCCTTGGAGCTCTGGAGAGGATCACTCATCTCAGAGCTCCAGAGAGGATCACTCATCTCAGAGCTCCAGAGAGGATCACTCATCTCAGAGCTCCAGAGAGGATCACTCATCTCAGAGCTCCAGAGAGGATCACTCATCTTGGAGATCCAGAGCTGGTCACTCATCTCAGAGCTCCGGAGAGGATCACTCATCTCGGAGCTCCAGAGGGGTCACTCACCTTGCAGCTCTGGAGCAGGTAACTCATCTTGGAGCTCCAGAGCTGCTCACTCACCTTGGAGCTCCGGAGAGGATCACACTCACCTTGGAGCTCTGGAGAGGGTCACTCACCGTGGAGCTCCGGAGGGGTCACTCACCTTGGAGCTCCAGAGCAGGTCACTCACCTTGGAGCTGGGCTGACAGAGCTTCCTGCTGCTGTTTGTATTTCTGCGCCAGCGCTTCGGCGCTCCGCACCTTCTGCTGCAAGTGGTTGTAGAGGAAAACTCCGGAGGCCAGGCAGGCCAGGGTGAGCAGGCAGAAGGCGGTCTGCAGCAGCCCCTTCTGCCTCCTGGAGCACATCCCGGTGCCCATGGCGGGGCCGGAGCGGCGGTGCAGCGCAGCCTCGCCGGCGCTGCTAAAGCATCTGGTTATTTCGGCCCAGCGGCTCCTTTCCTCCGCGGATCCCTGCGGAAGATGCGAGCGCAGGCTCGGCTCCGCTCCCTCCGGCCCTGGAGGGGCTCCTGCCGGGCTCTATTCCTCGCTGTCCGGCGGGACATCCGCGTCCGAGCGGTGCCCGAGCATCCTCGGGGGGCGGCCCGGGGGGGCTGCGGGGCGAGGGCAGCGGGCGGAGGGCACCGAGCAACAGCAGGAGCAGCAGGAGGAGGAGGAGGAGGAGGAGGAGGAGGAGGAAAACTTTTGCTTCCCATGTGCTGCGGCGGAGACGGGGGGGCGGGAAGGGGGTACCGCCGCCTTTTGGCTCTTCCCACCTCCCCCGCTGGAGCAAGCACCGGAAAAAATAACCCGGCGAGAGGAGGAGAAGCCCTTGGGCCCCCTCCCCGCGGCTTCCCCCGCCGGCAGATCCTGGAGGAAGCGGCGGCACCGGGGCCGGGAGAGCGGCCAGGATCGCGGCGGCGGCATCCGGGCTGCGGCGGCGGAGAGTCCGCCCTCGGCGGCGGGAGGGGCTGCGGGCACCGCGGGGACACAGGGGGACCTGGGGACAGCAGAATGCCGGGCCAGGGCTGGCCGGGTCCCGGCATCACCAGGAGGCCCTCGGCAGTGTGTTCCTTCCCTGCTCCGGTACCTGTTGCTAACGGGAGGAGGATGAGGGACACCGGGAGGGATGGAGCGGGAGAGCATCCTCACACGAGTTCTTTAAGAGCTGCTAAAAACTGTGGTTTCTCCTCGGGAAATAGGAGCTGATGAAGGCAGGAGGGCGGGAGGAGGGGAAAGATGGGAGTTTGGCTTTTTGGAAATGGTTTGCGTTGGAAGGGAGCCTGAACCTCATCCCTGCCCTGGGCAGGGACACCTTCCACCAGCCCAGGTTGCTCCAAGCCCTGTCCATCCCAAGGTGTTCTGGACATGCTCTCCATGTGGGCTCCTCTCTTCTGGCAGAGCCCAGCTGGTTTTACCCATGTGTGTGATGCACGAGGTGACCCTTAAAGGTCCCTTCCAACCCAAACCATTCCATGATTTTGTACCTCATGGGACAGACAAAGTTCCTGGAGCCTTGCCCGGGTTCTGAGCTCACATCTAAGATCCCCAGGTTTGTAATGAATCTTCTCTGATTCATTAGGCTGGCTCATCTTTTATCTGAACTCACAAGGATATTTCTCCTGGAATTCTGCCAAGTTCCCTCTTTCAGGCACCTGGGGAATAAGCAACAATCACAACAGTTCTTCAGCAGCAATTCCCCTCTAAGAGTCGTGCGTGGTGGTTTCATAAATGTTAATCAAACGAGCTTTACAGCTCTGCTGGGAATTGGATGAGTGGCACTTCTGTCACCCCCACTTGTCATCGGGAAAACTGAGGCACAGTGTTCCTGTAAGGTTATGATTTAGCCAAAATAACTTTTATGGTAGGATTTTTTTCCTCCCTCCCCGAGCATTTTAAGTGGATTTGGTGGATTTGTTCTGCCAGGCCTTGGGTGAGACTCAGCCTGCTGGAAATGGGGTGATTTGGCTCTGGTACAGCTTCCACTAAGCATTATAGGCTTTCCTTAATGAATTAACTGATTACTGCAGCTCCTTCTGGAAAGCAGAGCAGCACTGATGGGATGCCATGGATTGAGGGTGTGTAGGACCAGGGATAACCCCCTTCCTATTCTCAGATATTCAGTGCAAGATACTCCACTGTACCAGACAGATTTACTGCCCAACTGTGTCTCTACAGAAATGCCCAGCCCTGGGGGTTGCTGAATGCTCCAGCATCTCTCCAGGCTGTTTGTCAGGAGCTGGAATGTCCTGGCTGCATCCTGAGGACTGAGCAGGCAGCCCGTGGGATGAGGGGTTTCAGTCTCAATTTTGCCTCTATTCAGCACATTCTTTTTTCTTTTTCCTTTTTTTTTCCCCTCCTGCACTCATTAATTACTTCCTCATGTGTTGATTCCTGCCTGAGAAACACTGAGAGTTTTTGAGGTTTTTGACAGAGAGGAGTCTGGAAAAGGTTAAAACTAGATTAGGGAATGTTTATCTGAGAAAGATTTGATTGACAGAATGTCTGTGAGCAGGCACTTTACTTTTGTAACAAATAACTTTATTCCTGCAATGAACTCAGGTTTAGATTTAACTCCATATTTCTGCACCAGATCTAAGGCCAGTGAGAGCCAAAGGCTTTGCTTCATGTTTGTGCTTTACCAATATTTAAATAATTCCGAGGATTCCTCCTTATACAAATCCCCACAACATCCCCCATCCCTAAAGGTCTGCATGAGTATTTTTAGGGAGATACAGAGGAGGAGAAACCCCTGAGCTAAACAAACTGACCATAGGTGACAGCTCCCTTCAAACCCAGCTCAAAATGCTTTGTGCCTCAGGGATTATCTGATCATCTCCTTTTGCTCCCTCTAATCCAGTGGGTGATCACATCTGACGACAGCTTTAAAATAATAATCTGAACAGAACAAGCAATTCCCATGGGAAAGCTCGGGGTGTATGTGCTTGTAAAGAAAATGCCACTTTCCCCCCCTGTGGAACAAACTGTGAGTATTAACCATCTGTGCAAGTCGTGCAGTGCTGGAAAGCTGCAGCCTTTTAATCAGAGCTTTGGATTCCATAGCAGGATTTCATCAGCTGCGGGAGCGTTTTCAGCCAGGTTATGTAAATTCTGTCAAGAAACCAAGTGGCTGAGAGAGATGGATGGAAGGAATGTGCTGGGAGGAGGCTGCATTGTTCAGGGGTTTAGTTTTATAAATCTACAGATAAATGTGCCACATTTCACACTGGACACCCACCTTAAAGGCTTTATGAGGTTTGGATCTGCCTTCTAGGGAATCCCACTCTGGGAATCCAGTGCACAAATGTGGGAGGGAACAGGCTGAGCAGGGGAGGAGGAGTTTGAGGCAGGAGTTCAGAGGATGACAAATGACAGAAATGTTGAGAATGGCATGAGAAATGGATGAGAAATGAGAAATGGATGAGAAACGGCACAAATGTTTCAAAGTACTCAAAGTGGGCACCTTGATGTGCATGGATTCAGAGCACGAGAGGAACCAGCACTCCTGGGGCTGCCAGCCCTTCCCCACACAGAAATTCCCAATTCATTTCCTCCAGCAGCAAAAATGCCCTGAAATTTACCCATTCCTGGGGACAGATCTCACCTCGGTGTCCCCAAGGTGAAGGGGTGGGAGAGATGAAGCATTCCTGTCTTCCCAGAACAAGAAGTGACAGCTTCTAATTAGAATTCATTAGAGGCAGCCCCGGGGAGCTGATGGGACCATTTTTCAGGATGTTGTTGAAATTATTTTTCATCTCATGATGACATGTTGGCTCAGTGCTCTGAGTTCCCTTCCCCAAGCCTACAGAATTCCTTTGAGTCATCTGTGCTGTGCCTAAAAGTGAGGAGATGAGACCCCAGAACCCTCAGCAAACCCTGGGCATGGCCTTGATACAAGAGAAGGGGAATGGAGGAGCAAAATGTGGCAGAATCATTATTTTTATTAAGTTACAAGGTAAAACTCATCGTCTAGATGAGCATTTCATAGAAACTGGAGCACAAGGAGATCCACAATTACTGAATGTCTGGATATTTTGGCAGCTATTTGGTATTTATCTTAAAATCAGCTCCCAGAGTCAAAGTATTCTGAGAGAAATTATTCTTTCAAAATATTCTTTCTCTTTATTCTTTCAAAAAATGATCTTTACTCCAAGAATTTACAGGGCAAAACACTTCCACCATGTGAATCTTAGGTCAAAGTCAAAGTATTCTGAGAAAAAGTGTTTATTCTTTAAAAAAATAGTCTTTACTCCAAGAATTTACAGGGCAAAACACTTCCACCATGTGAATCTTAGGTCAAAGTCAAAGTATTCTGAGAAAAAGTGTTTATTCTTTAAAAAAATAGTCTTTACTCCAAGAATTTACAGGGCAAAACACTTCCACCATGTGAATCTTAGATCCTCTGAGAAAAAAACCCACCTTTGCCTTTTAGTTCTACCTCATCTTTTACAGTTTGGACTGGGAATCTTCCTTGCTTTGAGTCCTGGACCAGTCTGTGATTTGGGTTAGTTTTTATTCAAAAAGCAATAAAACCAGGCATCACCAGGCAGGATTCTGGAGGTGCAGACCTCCAGAAATTATAATTAATATAATAATTACATTATTTTCCCTGCTGTGGGTGAAGTTCCATTTGTCACCATGTTGTCGTGAGGGGGATTTCTGGGAAAAATAAAGAACATTTTAATTGTTGTTAACCAGGCTGGAGCCTGAGCAGGTGATGGTGGGAGGAGAAGGCAGCAGCAGCAGCGTGGAGCTGGCACAGAACACTCAGCAGATCTGTTCTGCTCCCTCCTCCAGGATGTTCTGCTGCTCTGTGGCACCTCAGGATAACAGAGAGCTGAGAATTCCTCATGATCTCACTGCAGTGTTTTTCCAGGGGAAGCTTCATGCCTGCACAAGCACTCTGTGGGATCAGCCAGCCTCATCACTTGGACACAGGGCTGCTTTGTCTGACTTCATGCTCTGCAGATATCCATGACACATCAGGCTGGAAAGATCATTTATGAGCAACTCAAGCTGGCATTTCTACACAGAAGGTGTCAGTCAGGGAGATTTCAGTCTGGTTTTTAAAACCCCCATAAGCCAAGAGCTTAAGTCATCTCTGCTTTGTCACTGTGTGTTAACTGTAGCCACCGAGAGATTTAGGGTGAGATTTCAGACATTGCTTAATCATTGTTGGTTTTAAATAGAACAGACTTTCCTGAACCATGCATTTGGGTCCTGAAAATCCTATTCAGCATTTTTCTGCACATGGATCATGGGAACACGGTCCAAAGGGTATTGCCAGAGAGATGTGGAGTCTGAGATTCATGTCTGATCTTTTTCCTGATGAGAGAATCTGGGACTATCTGGGAATGTTCCTTGCTGGTGGATTCAGCAGCCTCCTTCCAGGGATCCATCTCCAGCTGGCAGGAGTGGATGTCTTCAGTAGCAAGACTTTCATAAGGAGAACAACACAAAGCCATAAAAATGGAAATCACCTCCTGTTCTGTTAAATTAACCTGTCAAAAATTCTCTCTGTGGCCAACAATCAAGCTGACAATAAGCTAATTACAGAAAGACCTCTAAACACAAAAAGTATTAGATTGACTGGGTTGTTACCTGCCTGTATTTTCCTGCCTGAGCAGCCCACAGATCTTCAGGCACATTGTTGATTTGCCTCCTTGTGTGATCCCAGGGGCTGTGCGGGGAGATAAAATCTGCAGGAGTGCCTGTGACTCTCCCAGATCCCGGGGCTGGAGGCACAGGAGCCAATTCCCCTGCACAAAAACACTCCTTGCAGCCAGCACTGCCTGCAAAGTCAACCTCAAGGAGCTCCAGCTCTGTTTCTTACATAACACTCAATAACAATCCTCTTGGGAAG